TGGAAAACATCTGTCAACCCTTGACCTTCATTTCAAGTCTGCAAACACCTTTGGCTTATTAGAATTTTTGAGAAAGTTTCTAACATAAAAACTCAAAAAGAAAGCAGTTCTAAATTACCATTAACCAACAAACAATCCCCCTCTCATTGTTCTGTGTCACCGACATTATTCAATTTTCAATTCTCCCCACTACTTCTTTTTTCCTTTCCTACCTGCCTTCTCACCCATACCCTTTCCTCCCACAAGCTCTGGAGGCTCACATCATACTCAGCTCTCTACTTTCCCTCAAGGGCAAACTAATTTCTCCCACATCTTGATACTCTTACCAACTCTACAGCTTCTCACTCCAAATCCTAAACCCTCCCCTTCACACATTCACAGCTCATCTGCCCCCTCTTCAGAACTCATCCCTTTCAATCCTTCCGCACCCCTTCCAAAAACGTGGCTCCCAGTCCTAAGACCCAATCCACCAGCTTCCCTTCCCGTCTCTACGCCATTCCACCCACATCTCTTCAGTCCTTCAGCATCTGTCCTTCCCTTCCTCTCCTTTGGGCTTTCCTCCCCTCGGACTCCAACCTCTCCATTCCTCTCCAGTCTTGTGTCCTCAACCCTCAAAATCCCATTCCTTCACACTTCATCATCCCCATCTTCACAATCGATAGCCCCAACTTTCTTCCCTGCTTCCAAGACCCCACCCCTTCCCCCATTCCTCTCCTAGCTCCCCTCCTCCGTGCACTCCCAAACCACCTTCCCCTTTGCCTCGCCGGGTACCGCAGTTCTTCGCCCTCCCCCTTCTCAATTCCCACGCACGACCCTCTCCTACTCCCAAGCCAATGCTGCTTCCTCTCGCACCCGGCCCGGAACCCTGAACCCCGAACCCAAGTCTCTCATGCCTCTACAGCTTTCCCTGGCTCCCCACCCCCACCCTCAAACCACCTCCCACACCCCTACATCCTCATCCTCCCACCCTCCCTCGCTCTCCCTTCGGAGCCATTTTTAAACTGCTCTGTTCCAGCTCCTACCAGGACTGAAAGAATCTTTTAGGTGCTCTGCTTTTAAAATCTATTCTTTGACTTTGTTTCTTATTTCTTCATTAATTACTTCATACCATATTATTTTCTCAGGTGGCTTATCCCCTCCTGAGCAGGAAAAATTACCCTGATGAGGTGCTGGCTGCCTTGTGATAACCAACTCCATTGCTTTGGGTGAGTCAGGACACCAGGGCAGAAGAGTATGGAGGAGAAAAGCAGCTCAGGACATGGCAATCCGGAAGTAGAGGGGCGGGGGAGGGAGGGGGGCCTCCATTCACCAGGGACAAAAATATACATCCTAAATGCCCCCCCCCCCAGTAACCTGTCTTCTCCACCCACTGCCTACTTGCCTACAGTTACCACCTAGTTAATCCCTCTCAGTGGAACAATTCACTCACTAGTTACAGCTCTCATAATAGTAACATTTCACCTATGAATGTTATTGCATTGCCTCACATAGGATCTTTTGGGGATACCTCATATCTAAACCATAACAGAAGAAAATAGGTTTTATCCAAAGCCATCTTTGAAAGAAGATGGACAAAAAAAAAAAAAAATTGTTTCAAAAGTTCCATGTCAGAAAAGCCCTGGGACAAGAATGGGTTTTAAAAGTGGGAGGGTGTATTAGAAAGAAAGACAGAAATTTTACGTTTACCTCCTTAGGTGCCATTGTTGTCCAAATAAATATTACAGGTTTTGTCTATTTCTGAGTCCCTGGAGACTTCTCCTCATATCAATGGGAGCCAGAACATCCTATGACCAGCATCTGTTCCCCACCATTGTATACTAGATTTGTCAGGTGCAGAGAGTTCACAGGGTGAGTTTTCATGAACTGTATGTGGAGAGCTGCACTTACACGAGTTCATTCTAGGAGACTCCTCTGTACTTGAACTTGATTCAGATGATGAGACTTTGGAGTTGACACTGATTACGTGACGAAATGAGTCTTTTGGATTTCTTGAATGGAGAGCAGAGCATGTGGAAGGAATATGAAAAATTTGTGTTCAAAAGGATGACTATAGTGATTTTCAACTGGTCAAAAGTTTCTTGATACTCAAGAAGAGAAACTAGTGCCCCTCCCCCTGCCCCCATGAACATGGTTGGACTCATTAAATTCACCTCTAGTGAAGAGACAAAGCAGAAGCAATGGTGTACACCTACAGGCACAAAGACACTGAGGTTCCTGCTTGCTGTGCTCTTTCTTGCATCATTCATTCCTGGCTAAGCCATCTTCGACTGGATAGTCACCTAAAGGTAGTTCCCCATGACCAGAAACTGAGGGCTGTGGCCAAGAGTTACATGAATGAGCTGTGAATGAAGTCCTTTCTTGTCAATCAGCCTTTCAGTTCTGGCTTTGAACATTGCCCATAGGAAAGTAGCATGATAATGAACCTTGGTAATTTTAAGCTGCTCCATTTTGGAAGATGGTTACAAATTAGTAAGTAACATATGTACAGGGAACAACTATGGAATCAAGGGCTTTTTTTTTTCTTCAGAAACAAACAAAGGTGTCCAGAAAAAAATTGGAGTGATTTATACAAATAATTGGTAGAAAAAGGTTGCCAAATGACTTTTTATCCACTGAAATTGTCCTTCAAAAGTGTTCTCTTGAATGATTTCAATTGTTTTTAGAATCCCATTTTAATTTTTTTGCTAGCTTTATTTTTGTACTATTTTCTTAGGGATTTTCTTAGGATTACCATGCTCATCTTAACTTTTCAGTGTCCTCTACTTCACATTGTCTTAGTTCACATAAAAACAGAAATCTTTAGAATTCTAAACTCTCCTCATTGTTGTGTTTAATGTATCTATTCAGGATTCAGAGCCCTCACAAAAAAACTCTATCTGTATTTATTAAGTACGTATAAAAGAGATCCAGGCATGGTGGTACATGCCTATAATTCCATCCTTTCAGGAGACTCAGAGTCAGGAAGATTGCATGTTCAAACCCAGCCTCAGGAACTTAGTAAGACCCTGAGCAACTTAGTGAGACTCTGTCCTAAAATAAAATATAAAAAGGGCTAGGGGTGTGGTTCAGTGGGTAAGTGCCCTTGGGTTCAAGAAAAGGTGAGAGAGAAAGATAATCTTTATTTTTATGTGTACATCATATATTTATTACCAACGACCCTCTCAACTACAAAATTAGGCACAGGGATTAAAAATAAAAATTCATTGCATTACTTAGCAAAGCATTACTAGTAACTTTCATAAAAAATGTACAAACTTTGTTAAAAATTTATCAAGGCTTCAAATGATTTGGTTACAGATACTTATAATACGTACATTTAAAACTATATGTTAACTGATACAATGGAATATGATTTGAGGAAATAACTCAGCAAATGATTCCAACAGACACCCCTGTAAGCTTTCATAATCTGAAACAATAGCAAAATGAGGTAACCAACAGGGGGAAAATAGCTTTCTAATGAAGGCCTAAAGATTCTGTGAAAAATATACTCACAAGTGAGTTGGTAGATCTCATTCAAAATTATTACAAGAGGCCCAAACTTAAGAATCTTAAATCATATTTCAGAGAGTATATAAAAATCTAAATATACTTTCACATTTCCCAGATTTTGGTTAAAAAAATTTTTTTCCCTAGGACAAAAAATCCTTAATATGAGATCTTGATCCATGGAGGCCTTGAGTTGATTTTTTCAGGGGTGGGGATTAAAAATACCAAACATGACAATTCATACCAAAAAACAAATAAACCAAAACCCACAAAAAAACCCACAGCTGAGTTAAGATGGTAAAGCCAATGTTGTTTTAGGAGGAAAGAGGACAAGGCAACAAACCAACATCTGCCTGCAATCTGGCATATCACCAGTGGTAACAGCTGGGCAAGAAATCAACTGTTCTTTCACAGAGTTGCTCACTGTGGCTAGTCTGAGCTGGTTCAGAACACACACACACACACACACACACACACACACACACACACGTGCTCCTAATATACACTAACCACTTGGTAAGCAAGTCTGGACACATCTCTAAGAGCTCCATGCAAAGACAAGACATTCCTCAAGAGATCAGCCACAACAGTGCAACAATTAAACTCAGACCCTGCTGTCTCTTAAATTGCCAACTGCCTCTCAAAAATTTACTAGAAAAGGGACATTACAACAGGAATTCATAGTCAGAGGAAGGGGAGAAAAAGCTACTTCTCCTAGTCATTAGTACAATGTGCCTCGTTAATTAGGTATCTCTATATAAATTAGAAAAAGTGCTTTAACTTGCATGCTTTAGTAAAATTAATACTGAGTATAGTAGTGTTATGTTAGATCTGTACAGATATAAATTTTTGCAGCTATATCAAAGAGTCTATAAGGTGGGTTTTTGCCATTTTAAACATGATTTTTTAAATTAAAAAAATAAAGATAAAACTATATGTGATTTGTATGTAGCTGATTATTATGTGCCAATAATTTGGTCTTTAACATACTTTTTTACTCTTCAGGAACAGGAAAGGAATTATCCTGATAATTTAATGTAACATGTGCATTTTCCCACTGTTTAGGTATATTTCTGATGACTGACAAATCTAGAGCAAAGGATGCAAAATCCTATTTGTATGACTAGATAGAGGCAAAACAGTGTCTGGAAGAGGACAAAATTGTGCTTCTGTGTGAATTGACTTTACAGAACTCTAGGCTGTGATGAGCTTATAGATTTCAAGGGAGGGCAAGCAGCATGGCAGTAATAAGTAGTTAACACTGTCTGAGTATAAAAGAAAGATAATTTTTTACATTGAGCCAGACATTTGACATTTAACAGTTCTGATGTTCTTACCTTTTCTGGGATTCTGAGTTTTCCACTGGCATTGTTTGTTTTCAAACAATGTACACAATGGTGGGATTCATTGTGGAATATTCATATATGTATATAAAAAAATGATGTCAGATTTATTCTACTGTCTTTCCTTTTCTTTCCCTAATTCCCCTCCCTTACCTTTATTCCCCTTTGTCTAATCTACTTAACTTCTAATCTTTATTGTTTTCTTGAATGGGGATATAGGCAGTAGAAAATATTGAATTTAAGAAAGAAGAAAAAACAGATCTTGACATCTGGGAACTGCTCTGACACTTAGAGCTAGGCCTCAGATTTCTTAGGAACTGTCCTGGTGCTCACAGGATTCAGGAACTGAGGGCTGTGCTATTCCCTGTTGGATAAAAGGCATGTTAATAAGCAATGTCAGACAAGCTCATTCTACAGCCACACAAAGTGAGATTAAAAATAAGAGTAATACATAACTTTTTCTAAGCATTTGCAAAAATAAGGAACTGTGCAAGTCACAAAACACTAACCATCTCCTATGTTGGTGAATATGACTGGCAGCAGCTTCTTGACCAATTACAGTTTTATTCTTACTCTGGTCTTTACTTATTATGACTAAGATTTACAGAGACACTCCATCCCACAATTGCTTCAGTTTCTTGACATCACCCAATCTACAATGAACAGCCAATCTATACTACTTCCTTGCTGTCCCCATGTCATCCATCCAAAGCCCCAATCCTATATCTTATCCTTTCAAATACCTTTGTACTAAGACAGACGATGTTTTTCATATGAAGATAATTTTAACAGATTTCCTTCCATCCAGGAGTCACAGTGTATCTTTCTGGGTGGAATATTGAATGTAAAGAACATAGTAGAGGGGCTGGGGTTGAGGCTCAGTGGCAGAGCGCTTGCCTCCCACATGTGAGGCACTGGGTTCAATCCTCAGCACCACCTAAAAATGAATAAACAAAGTAAAGATATTGCATCCATCTATAACTAAAAAATATTTTTAAAAAAAGAACATAGTAGATGTTCACTGTCAGAAATAGTAACTATGAGCTAGATATAACTATTTATGTTTAAATTGACAAAATTTAAAATTATTTAGCAGACTAGCCACATTTAAATGCTTAATAGCCACGTGTAACTAGTGGCTACCTTAATGGTAGGTGCAGAGATAGAACAATTTCATCACCACAGAGTGTTCTATCAACAGTATTACTGCCACCTGGCTTCAGATTCTCCTCAGAAGGAGGCATGGAGATTCTGAGGCCTATAAGTCACTTCCGCTGAAGGAGAGGTTCTGACCCTGACCTTGACGGGTGAGTGCTGGGTCTTCAGAGAAAAGGCCTCTGCAGGGGACAAGCTTGGGGACAGCTCCACTGGGCCATAAGACCCAGGTGACATGGAATCTATGTAACCATGACACAGACCTTTTGCCCCACCTTGGCCACACATTGTTCTTTTTTTTTTTTAATTTTTTTTAAGAGAGAGAGAGAGAGAGAGAGATAAGGAGAGAGAGAGAGAGAGAGAGAGAGAGAGAGAGAGAATTTTTTAATATTTATTTTTTAGTTCTCGGCGGACACAACATGTTGGTATGTGGTGCAATTCCTAAGAGTCCAAAGGCCAGAGATCCTGGAG